CCCGTGACCAGTGTGCCTTGCAGCGAGGGGGTGCTTCATCTAAATGCACAGGTGTGAGTGCTGAGTAAAGGGTATTCCTGTGTTTCCAGATTCTTCTCAGCAATCCTCAGATGTGGTGGTTAAATGATTCAGATCCTGAAACGAACAACCAGCAAGAAAGTCCTTCCCAGGAAAACATTGACCAAGTAAGTAAGAATGGATTTGCGCCCCTCGCCCCCATGGCCTTGCATGGGGTGTGCTAATGTGATGAGGTGGGCAGGACAGGGCTCTAGGCAGGACTCGGGCCCACCCTAGGAGGCCAGCCGAGCATGCGGCAGTTGCGGTGGGTAGAAGTGAAGCAGGAGGTATTTCCTTCCAGAGTTGGAAATTGGAAGGCAACTGGAGGTTCTTTAGACTTTTTCTCTCTTGTATGCATAGAGAACTTTCCACATCAGCTACCTCTGCTTTCAAGCATGTCTCTGCCTGTGACCCATAAGGACATCACCGTGATGACTCTGTCCACGTTTCCCTCCCCCGTTAGCACACTGAGGGCCTTGTGACTGATTTCCTACAGGTCCTAGTGACTGTTGTAGCACGTCCCTGTGGGCCCACAAGCTTGTTGCCATTCCGAGAGGCCCGGGGGTTGGAACATTTGGCTCAGTCTTCCTCAATCCTTTCTGAGTGGCCCCATGTACCCGCTGGTGCTAAAGAGCAGTGTGACACACTGAAGAGCAGTGTGCACACCAGGGGCCTTAGACACATATTCCCTGTGAGGCTGTCCCTGCCAGGGAAGGGGGCGGATGGGAGTGCTGGGCATGGGTCAGCTCTGTGTCGCCGAGGCCTGTGGGTAGCCACCTCTTCCCCATGCTCTCCCCTAGCTGGTGTACATGGGCTTCGACGCGGTGGTGGCTGATGCCGCCTTGAGAGTGTTCAGGGGAAATGTGCAGTTGGCAGCTCAGACCCTCGCCCACAACGGAGGAACTCTTCCTCCTGACCTGCAGCTCTTGGTGGAAGACTCTTCATCAACGCCATCCACGTCCCCTTCCGATTCCGCAGGTAGGTCTGAGGCCTCTGAGTACCAAGGTGGGAGTGGGCCAGGGCAGGTGTGCCCTTCTGGACGCAGCGCTGCTCTGTGCTTAGGCTGTGTGGCCAGGGAGGGCCTCGTGGATGCTCATGTGGGTCCGTTCGTCTCCCCACCTCTGCTATAACCACGTTCCTCTGTTGTAGGTACCTCTAGTGCCTCAACAGATGAAGATATGGAAACCGAAGCTGTCAATGAAATACTGGAAGATATTCCAGAACATGAAGAAGATTATCTTGACTCAACGCTGGAAGATGAAGAAATTATTATTGCAGAGTACTTATCTTATGTAGAAAATATAAAGTCAGCAGCAAAGAAAAACAATAATGAGCAGAAATAAGTACTGAGTTTCTGCTTATAAATTCTATCATTATGAAAAGTCGAATGCAGGTCTTTTTTTCCTTCTTTTGATCTGATTTTGCTGCACGGGTGCTTCCTACTTGGGTGCAGGAGGGACGAGCAGGGATCTGGGGCTGCAGTGAGGGCAGAGGGGGCTGGGGCAGAGGTGGGTGGAGTGTTGGTCCCTAACACTGACCTCAGGAAAGGAGCTGCCTCTGGCTTGATCTTCTTCCTGGCTGCCTTTAGAGGCTGCAGCCCTAACACGGTCTTCCCTGCTTGGCTTTTTACCCAGAAATGGGAAGGATTCCTTCTGGGGAATAGGGTGGCCCCTGGGGAAGGTCTCCAGGAATTGCTGGTGGGGAGGGGAAGCATCCAGATTCATTTGCTCTTCATTTTGCCTGCTGTCCTGGTCTTCTGAGCTCACTGCTGACCTCTTCCTGCCTCCCATGATGCAGCTCTGCCTTCCTGCTTCAGCCTCACTGGCCCATCCCTGAATTTTAAATCTTCAGCCATTCCAAGCGCTTTGGGAGACTAAAGATGAGGCATTGACTATAGTAGCCATACCAAATCGTGGCAGACTTGAAAGTCCGTCTTCTATGCTCTTAGTTTAGTAAAATGTGCACTTGAAATTCAGGGTTGAAGTTGAGAATTTATAGATGTTCAAAATTCGTTATGAAAATCTTTTATTAAATGGGAAGGTTTTAAATGCTAACCAAAGCAACTAATTTTTAATTAGCATTTTCGGATGCTGTGCTATCACATTAAACTCACTGCTGGCTGAGATACTTATCAGAGATTGAGATCTATGTTCTCTGGATTTGTGGGGGGTTTTGGGTATACATGGGTCCCAGAAGACTATTTCTAAAGGTGCATAGTTAGCCTCTTAATGGCCCAAATAATCACCCTCCCTGTGCCATGCATTCCTTCGTAGATGTGTATTAAATGAAAACCTGGTCCAGCCCCAGGACACCACTGGCAGCCGCAGTGTGCTGAATCAAGTGCCAGGTGTATTCCTGACACTCTTCCCTTCCAGAAGTCGCTGGAAGCTTCTGCGACTCAGGGCAGATGTGTCACACTGCTGCCGTCAAGGGGTGGCTGAAATGCTTTGACTTTTTCACTCATCATTTTCATAAAGCTTGAATAACAGTCCAGTTTGAATTAGTGGGAATCTTTTCTGTCATCTTTTAAAATGGATGGTACAGATGGAAATAAAAGGTGGAAAATATATTCAAAAACTGTCAGCCTAACTTTGCAATTAGTTGCTCAAACTCCTAAACTGTTCTATGTGTTGAAAATATCTGGTCTAGAGTTTCATTTAGATTCAAGTTGTTTGCTTGCATGGAGTTCTGTGAAATCACATCGACGTCTGTAGCTGATGGGGAGGAAGGAGGCTGCCAGGAGGGGACAGGGGTTTGTGCTGTTGGTGTTGAAGTGGCCGACCACCAAGGTGATTGGGAGTGGGGGGTCTCTTGGTTTGCCTGGACTGTGTCCTACTTGGATTTTGGGCATAAATTGCAGCTTGTGGCTAACTAGTTACTGTCCTGGCCTTGGGCTGGGCCTGGCTTCTAGCTTCCCAAAAGCTTTCTTCATGATCATAGAAAGGCTAGGAAAGCAGGGACACATGAGCAGCGCTCTGACATTGCTTCATCTGCTCTCAAAGAGATGCAGAGAGGCCAGTTCTCACCTTAGGGACCATGCGCCTCGTGAGGAGGGCTGCCCATCCCAAGTTGGGAGACAGGTTCTGGTCCTGGCTTTGCCTCCAACTGGTGTGTAAAAACTAGACAAGCAGTGACCAAGTACCACTCCCAGGTCTGGAGGACAAGAGAGGCAGCAGAGGACATTTGTAATGAAAATGTCTCCAAGTCAACAGGAGTGTGCTGAGGCCGGAAGAGTCAGGGGAGGTGGACCTTGGAAGGGGCTCTCCTTGGAGAGTCAGAGAACATTCTAGACCTGAGACCAATGAAGAGGCAATAGTTGGCATAGGACAGGCCAAATGTGCCATATTCATGAGGTCACAGCCGCTCTAGGCCCACCAGACTGTGGGTTGGGGCAGAGAATGAGGTGGGAAGGATGCCAAGTCCAACTACAGAGCACTCAAAAAGGCAGGCAGGGGGTCTGGATCCAAGAGGCCGAACACCCAGGCCATCAGACAACTCCAGGAGTGGAATGCAGGTGCACTCTTCACCTGTGATGCTGGTCCTTCTCTTGTGAAATTCCATCTGCTCTTGGCTTTGGTGACACTTCATGCCCTGTCCATGTTAACTGCCCATATGGCAGTAAGTACTTCTGTCCTTCCTCCCCTATCCAGCTGCATTTGTCAAAAGCAAAGAATACCTGGTCATCTGGTCTTTACATCCTCAACAGCTAACACGGGCTTGTGCGGCATAGAAATGAAAATTACCCAAATATATTCTCCATAAATATAACAGTTCCATTTCCTACTCTCTCCAGGAGAGGCAGGCAGGAGAACAAACGTGCAGCAGCTCCTGTTTTATGATCCGCACCCGGGGTTGCTTCCCTGGATGGATTGTTGCCCGTGTGTTTTATTCTCTGTTGTGGTTGGATAAGATGGGGGATCTGGGGTGACAAACGAGCAAAAGCTGCAGGGCAGGAACGTGACATCGGCTGTGAACAGCAATAGCGTCTGGTACTCCAGCTGCCTGCCTGTCAGCAACGTGGAAATCCTAGCAGGCTGCTCAGGGTGGGCCCTCTGCCTGCCCTCCCTGAAATGCACCTCAGCTCCCAGGACGCCCCTTCGGCAGGCGGCATGACCCCAGAGGGCCACCAGGTAGTGAGTGCCCCCCTGCCACAGCCAGCAGCGCTCGGACTGTGAGTTTTGAGTCCCACCCAAAGAATGCAGAGCGATGCTGCTGCATGTGGTTGTCACCGGCAAGCCTGTTTTCCTGGGGAGACGGACACCCGGGTTCCCGGGGCTTGGGGGCGTGGCCTGGAGGACAGTCACAGAGGTACCCGACCCTTCCTACTGCCCCAGGTGTCAATCCCGTACCTATCAGTGGGCCTGAGGGAGAGGGAGCCACCAGTCAGGGCTGGACCTGGCTGCCCCCGGGAGCACAGGCCCTACAGCGCGTCTTGCTGGTGAAACAGCTCTTGGATTAGCGCAGTGGACAACCTGCTCCTCCGCCTCGGGGGTCCCGCGAGACGCTGAGCTCAACCGCAGGCGCGGCCCGCAGCTTCTCCGGCACCGCCAGAGCGCCCCCTTCAGGTGACGAGGGCAGCTGGGGGCGGCTCTCCTCGGGGCCTGGCCCCTGGGGCTCCTGCGGGATGTGCCGCGCCCCCACCCCGCCCCCGGGCCGGCTCCTGCACACCCGGACCCCAGGGCAGCGCCCTCCTGCACTCACGCAGACCCGGGGCTCCCAGCAGGGCCCACGGATCCCCGCAGCCTCCCGGACAGGCCGCAGGGCCGGTTCCTTGCTCCCGGGCCTCTCCCCACGCGAGTGCCGCGGTGGGGGGGACAGGGCCGCAGCCCCCCTGCACCCCGGGGAGGGGCAGGCCCCCCGGGGGGTGAGGCCCCCGGTCGCGGGAACCCCTCCTCCCTCGGGAGGAAGCTGAGCGTGGGCAGAACAAAAGACATAGTCCAGAGCGCTTTGAAGGGCGTGTATGTATTTCAGTTCTTCCCCAGTGTCCTCAGGACAATTTGCCAAACTAGTGACAATCGCGGCTCGAGGGTTTTTGAGGAAACCCACCCCCCGCCCCGGTGCCCCTCAGGGCAGGCTTGGCTCCTGGGGACCCCAGGCTCGGGGGTGAGGGGCCGCTGACCCCGGGTCAGGAGGGCCCCGCGGCGCCAGGTGCAGACCCGAGTGCGGGGAGCTCGCTCGGTGGGGGGGGGGGGGCGGGGGCGCGGTCCCCGAGGGCGAGCGCGGGCGGCGGCGTCCCGGGGCTCAGGCCGGCTGCAGGGGCGCGGCGGCGCAGCCCACCTTGTTGCTGAAGAGGCGGGAGCGGCTTCGCGCGGGGGCGGAGGGGCGCGGCGGCGGGGCGCACGGGAGGCCGCGCACGTCCCAGAGGCGCAGCGCGCCGTCGTGCGAGGCCGTGTAGAGCACCTGCTCGTGCACCTGCGGGGCGGGGCGGGGCGGCGCGTGGGCGGCGCTGCGGGGGCGCCCGGGCCGCCCTCCCGGGGCACCGGGCTCGGGGTGCTGGGGCGGCCCTCCTCTCCCCGCCGGGGCAGAGCCCGGGAGCCGGGGGGAGAGCCTACCTGGATGCAGTTGATGACGAAGGCGTGGCCGCGGAACACCCTCTGCAGCGCTCCAGACTGGGCGTCGAAGGCGCGCGCGCGGGCGTCCCCGCTGCCCGTGAACACTGCGGACACAGGGCGCCACTGGGCCTCCAGCCCGAGAGCCCCCGCCTTCCCCAGGAAGCCGGGGGTGGGGGGGATGGGGGGCCCCAGGCCCGCAGGCGACCTGGAGGCGGGGAGGTCCTAAGGCCCAGCTAGAGACTAGCTGGAGCCCCTTGCAAGGAAGGAGGCGGCACCTGCATTCTCCTACCGCGAGCCCGGGAACTGAGGGGGGTCCACACCCTCCCCGTGCTCTGCAAACAGCTCTGCGGGACTGCCTGGCTTCCCTGCTCTAAATCCCCGGCCTTGGGGGAAGGTCACGCACCCCCCATCATCTGAGCAGCCCACTGGGGCAAGGACCACCCAGAAAGTCGTTCCTCTCCCTCCTCAGTAATGAACTTGGCCCTCCAGAGCCTAGACACTGTGTTGGCTAGCTCACAGGGGAGGGCCCTGGAATTCGGCTGTCCTCGCGCCTTTTCCTACTTGAGAACCCAGTCCAAGGGTTCTGACTCCAAGGAGCACCCGAATCACCTGGAGGGCTGGTGAAGGCAGATTGCTGGGCCCACCTGAGTTTCTGTCTCAGGAGGCCTGGGGTGGGGCCTGAGAACCTGCATGCCTAACCAGTTCCAGGTGATGAGGATGCTGCTGGTCAGGAACCACAATGAGAACACTAACCAGAAGAACTCCCTTGTTCCCATATTGTCTTAGCCCGGGTTCTCCCAGAAGCTGACCCTGACACTGGGATTTGGGTGCAAACACTTCATTTGGCAAACACTTCATTCCATTAAGTGGGGAGAGAAACAGAAAGGATGCCCATTCAGGTGTATTAGTGAGCAGGTGGCTGCAGGTGGCCCCTGGGAGAGGGTGCAGACCAGGTCTCAGAGCTGTGCCCCTGGGGTGGGGGGGGTGCATGTCATTGGTTGAGGGCCTCTCTTGTGGGTGTCAGCTCCTAGCCATCCTCTGACCTGCTCCTCACAGGAAAACACTCTAGGGCAGAGGACCTTAGGTTCAGCAGAAAGAAGTGCCCCACGTGTGGTACCCACAGCATCTGCTATGCCCACTCAGCAGCCCAAGCAAGCCATGGGGGATTCTTAGGTTCGGGGATCTATCTCTTCCTTACCCCCACTTACTGTTTCATCTGCCTATTTCAGCCTTGCTGCTAAGAGGGGAAGTTTCATTCCTGGGTCTCTTCTGTTCCTTTCCTGCTTCCCCTGCCCCCCACCCAGCGTGGCTGCTGGGTGTCCTGTGGGTGGGAAGAGGGTCAGGAATTAAGTCTGAGCCACCTACAGCCTGTTGGCAAAGACCCTGGACCAATTTCCTTTAATACCAGGTAAAGTCCATCCCAGCTGCTGCCAAGGGGAGGCGCTCTGGGTGGCTTTAATCTTTAATTTAGAGGCCCTGACTTGGGAGCAGAGCTGTGATCACACTTACAGGCTTGGACACAGGAAGAAGGAAAAAATAATTTTCCCGTGTCAGACACCTAAATCTCAAGGGTATCTCGGGCTCTATTTTCAGAGATCCACATTCTATCTTCATCTAACACCTGTGCTGTGAAGTCAACTTCAAGTTTCTGCTGTGACTCCCCCTACCCATCTGCTCCCTCAGTGTGTGTGTGTGTGTGAAAACGGGGAAGAGGGGGGTCTGATGACAGAACATAATGCTGGGGATTGTTCTGGGAAAGAGATTTCAGGAACCTGGGAGCCTTGCTCCCATGTAGGTGTGGAGGTAGAGGGGGTGCTTTCTGGATCACTGGGTGTGTCTGGGGTGTGAACATGTGCCAAGTCTGCAGGACAGAGCCAGCAAAGCTCAGATGTGTCAGTTTGACACCTGTGGGACCGACAGCTCATTGCCTACCCAATAAGCCATTCTGCCCTTCTTTCTTCCCAAGCAACCCCATTAATTCTGGCAGCAATAGCTCCAGATAAAAGATTTTATTATTCGGTCTTTCTTGCAGACAGTGGTCAAAGAGATATATGCCAGGTCTGTGGGTAGGGCTTCCAAGAAAGATCTTTAAAGGGACCCACTCAGCTAAGAGATGCATCCTTTTGCCCTTCTGTCATCTTCCTTTCTGCCTAAAACTTGACATGATGGCTGGAGCTCCAGCAGCTATCTTAAACTATGAGGCCCCCTAACAGATATAAGATATGTGCTAAGAGTGATAAAGCAAAATGATCAAAGGAAACTGGGTGCCTGATAACTTTGTGGAGCTATCCATTCCCACCTACACTGCCAGCCTCTGAAATTCTATGTGAGAAAAATAAACCACTATTTCATTTAAAGCACAGTTAATCTGGGCTTTCTCTTATTTATAGTCAAACCTAATGCCAGGTGAAGCCAAACCTACCTGGCCCTCAAGTCTGGCTGGAGTAAGTGGTGTCATAGTCTCATTTCGAGAATTAGAGACCTTCACCTTAGGGCTTCTGAACATTCAGGCTGCTGCTTGTTCTTGGGTGAAGCTGGAGAGGAATCCCCCCACCCTTATTTGGGCCTTCTTTACAGGTGCCCGGGGGAGGCATGGCTGCTGACCACCCAGAATGGCCACTGAGGCTCAGGAGGGAGCAGCTGAGTAAGAAGTAGAGCAGAGAGGCCCTGAGTGCAGGGGATTTGGGGGTGTGGTCAAGGCATGGAGGGCACAAGTTGGGGCAACGGGGACAGGAGTCACTTACAGGTGCCTGCGTGGTATTTGAGGGCGCTCACGCTGTGTCTGTGGGCCGCAAATGTGCGCACGCGCTCGCCCGTGTCTGCCAGCCAGCACTTGACCGTCCTGTCGGCGCTGCCCGAGTACACGTGCCGGTTGACGAGCTGGGGGAGGAGGAAGGAGGGTGGGAGCCGGACCCCTCCGTACTGGGGCAGCAGCAGGGGACGCGGAGCCCCCTTGGGGAGGGGCATGTGTGGGTCTCACTGGAAAGTGTGGATGAGCAGGAAATGACCCTGCCTGTGGGGACCCACCCACTGCCACTCCAGCACCCAGGGATGTTGTCACTTTGCCCTTGGCTGAGTCACGGACTCTGCTCCTCCACTGCTTCCCCGGGAGAGGAGCATCCTGCCAGTGCCTTCTCGTGGGGGGTACAGAGAAGGCCTGTAGGGCGCTCAACACGCTAAGGGCAAGGACCACAGAATGTTCGCCGGGGCCGTTACTGTTGTCAGGTGTCTCTCTTTAGCAGTCCCTACTGAAGAAAAGTCCGTGCCTGGAAAGGTTAATGTGAATCCACCTGTAGCTATGGCCAAGCCGCACCTGGTGTTCTCTCCTATTGACCCAGCTGACGAAAGGGCTCCCAGGGCAAGGCTTTCACTCTGAACGTTTTCCCGCAGAAGAGCAGATAAGGAAAAAGAAAGGTCTAGAAGTAACCTGCGTGGCTGCAGTATGTCTGAGGTAGATCTTTGCTAGGACCAGAGCTGGACACCCAGTGGCTGTCATCGGGTCCTGAAGCTCCTGCTCCCAGGGCTGCCCTGGTGGGGAGGGAGGAGCCCTGGAGACAGGCTCCCCCACTTCCCACCTGCCCCAGCTGACCAGAGTGGCATTCACACACCCCTGCTTGGTGTCGCAGGAGGTAAAGAAGGGGTCTGGGAGAGAAGGGATGGGGTTTGCGAGGCCCCTCACACGAGCACCCCTTGCCAAGATAGACAGTGTCCCACCCCAAGGGAAGTGCAGAGACCATTAAAATAATTCTGCAGATTCCTCTAGACAAAACCACATGCAGCCAAGAGTGCCCCCACCCAGCAGCTCTGGTTAGCAGTGATGCAGAGGAGAACCAAAAGTTGGGTGAGGAGGGCGGCTGTAAGCCCCAGAGAGAGCCGTCCATGCCAGACCTTGGAGGCTCAGGAAAGAGGAGGCCCTTCTCCTGGGGCAGCGGGCAGCAGGCCTGGAGCAAGTACAGGCTGGCCACCGGCATCGCTCATGTGTCCCATGCCCTCTTAGCTTGAGCACACACCTGCCCAGCTACAGCCACACTCTGGGCTCCTTGCCACTCCAGTCCCCACAGCTGATCCAGTTTCCCCAGATAATTTCCCAGTTTAAATCCCAGAGGACAGGACTCTGACTGGTCCGGATTGTATTTCCACCCCAGCCACAGCACAGGTCAGACTTGGCTTTGGGCCATTCACTATGGCAGAGGCGATGGGATCTCGAGGAACACGTCCGGCCTCCTGGAGGCAGAGGCTGCGGGTGGTTCCCCACAGACAGAAGGGGCGTAGAGACATGGCCAGTGGTCTCCCAGGCCCGGCCCTGAGGTCCTGAAGGCTTACAGCTGGCTCCAGCCAACACAGCCTGACTTCTGGCCCCTCTTATTGGTAGCCCCTGCCCTAGAACAGAGCAGGTGTGGACGTGTACCCGCATGCCCAAGGGGCTCCGGCAGGGTCCAGGCCATCACTCGGTCTTCTTGCTATCTGCATCACACTCCCAGAGCTTGGTTCCTGGGCCATCAACAAGGGTAGGGGCAGAAAAGCCAGAGGATCTCCCCAAGCCCACTTGGCCCTGTCAGCCTGAGGCCAGAGCCTCAGTTGCCCTGCTTCTCACTGTCCCCCAAAGCCCTGGGGACATGCCATCCTCCTCGGGCTTCTCACAAGTCCTCTCTGCCCAAAGAAGCACCCCCATGCTAATCCCACCACTCCTTTGTGGGCAAGCCACCCTGGGATCTCTCCTCCTGCTGCCCCTAGCGCGTGTCTGCCCCAGGCCCCAGTGTGTCCTGACCATCCCTATTGACTGTCACTCCAGACACAGCTCCAGGCCTCCAGGAGCCACAAGACTCACGGACCTCAAATAAAGGGAGCTGGCGTGTGTAGCCTGCGGGATGGAAGCCCCTGTGGGACACTGGGCTACGCAGCCTCTGCACCCCTGCACCCCTCAGCGCACGCAACAGAAGCGCTGAGCTTCCATGGCTGCTGTGGCAGAGGGATGATGCCTCCTGCTCCCCATGCAGCGTGTCCCAACAATGTGGTGCCTGTCACACTGTGTTTAAAAGTGACCAAGCAAAAAAAAAAAAAAAAAGTGACCAAGCCGCACAGCTTCAAAGTATAAATCATGAGTCCAGAGGCCAAGGAAATGCTCCAAGCATGTTGTCCTTGGCTGCCTAAGACCTCACTGTTCGCTTTGGCTGCTTTCCTGAGAGGACATCCACGGGGAACAGCCGGGCAGCTTGGGGAGGCCAGAGGAGGCCCGAGGCACAAGGGGAAGCAGACAGACCTGGACGGGGGCATGTCACAAAGGACAGGCCCTGCAGTTCTGAGGGATGGAGCTCGAGGGCCATCTCCCTGTATGTGACCCCTCCAAGTAGATGGCAGGATGAGGCAGACAGGCCTGGGGCTCTGCTGTGGAGGCCCCTGGGCGCAGGCTTCTCCGCCCTCCACTCACAGCAGCAGATGCACTTGGGCAGGGAAGGAGAGAAGCTGCAGGGCCAGGCTGCAGAGCACAGCTGGGCCCTGGACATCCCACCTCTGGAGTAAAACAGCCAGAAGAGAGGCTCCCCCACTCCAGCAAAGTACAGGCCCCGTCACACCTTTATAAGCTGCCGGCTACATGTTCAGTCCTGGGTTCCTATCTGTGTCTGCCCCTTACCAGCTGTGAGACCTTGGACAAGTTGCTTACCCTCTCTGATCCTATCTTCTCATGTGTAAAATGAGAAAATATAAGCAGCGGCAGCACATCCGCTAGATGCCCAACAACAAGAGCACAAGCTCACAGGCTCTGAGAGCAAGCCATGCCCCCAGCTCTGGGCCACGTCCACTGCTAGCTCATCAAGCCCTCACAAGCACCAGGGATGGGCACGATGTCACACCCATGATCCCTGATCCAAAATCTTGGGGCCAGACGTATTCCAGGAGCTTTTGGATTTTAGCAACATGCTCATGTTTCTACAGCAAAGGAATGCGTATTCCCAGGAAGTGGGGTAAAGTGAACTCCAACTAGCCTCCTATCTGTCCAGGCCAGGCTTTGCTGCCAAGCAAGTTTTAGTGCCAAATCTAAAAAATACACTTTATGTTTTGGAGCTTTTGGATTTAGGAATTATGGACCAGGGTTTCTAAATAAATATAATCCTCAAAAAAAATATAATCCTCACCTAACACGTTTAGAAACCAAGATTCCTATGTTGACAACAGCTTTAACCCTTGTATCTGTGAATGGGACTGTACATGGAGACAGGGTCTTTAAGGAGGTAGTTAAGTTACAGTGAGGTCATTACGGTAGAACCTAATCCAATATGACTGTGGTCCTTATAAGAAGAGGACATTTGGGGGATCCCTGGGTGGCGCAGCGGTTTAGCACCCGCCTTTGGCCCAGGGCGCGATCCTGGAGACCTGGAATCGAATCCCACGTCGGGCTCCCAGGGCGTGATCCCAAGGTCCTGGGATCGAGTCCTGCATTGGGATTCCCACAGGGAGCCTGTTTCTCTCTCTGCCTATGTCTCTGCCTTTCTCTGTGTGTCTCTCATGGATAAATAAAATGTTTTTTAAAAAAAGGAGAAGAAAACATTTGAGGGGCGCCTGGATAGCAGAGTCGGTTAAACGTCTCCCTTCTGCTCAGATCAGGATCCTGGGGTCCTGGGATTGAGTCCCACACCAGGCTCCCTGCTGAGCAGAGTCTTCTCCCTCTGCCCAACACTCATGCTCTCTCTTGCTGTCTGTTTCTCTCTCTCAAATAAATAAAATCTTAGAAGAAAGAAGAAAGGAAGAAGAAGGAGGGAGGAAGGAGGAGGGAGGAAGAAGGAAGGAAGGAGAAGAAAAGAAGGAGAAGGAGAAGGAGAAGAAAAGAGAAAGAAGAAGAGGAAGAAGAGGAGAGAACATTTGGATGCAGAGGGAAGACCATGTGAGGACCCTGGGAGAAGACGTCCAGCTACAAGCCACCACCTTGGTCTTAGACTTCCAGCCTCCAGCATGATGAGACAATCCATCTCCGTCGTGTAGGCCATCCCGTCCGTGGTACTTGTTACACAGCTCTAGCTAACTAGCACACCGGGTGGCCCAGCGGCCTTGCCGGCAGACAGGCAGGGGCTGGGCGGAGCTCACCTCCAGACAGATGACGGAGCCCTGGTGCTCCCTGAACACCCGCAGCTGCTCCCCACTCAGGATGTCCCAGGCACGGATGGTGGCGTCGGTGCTGCCAGTGAAGGCCGTGTGACTGGGCGTGTCCAGCACGAGGCAGAGCACGGCACCCGTGTGGCCCCGCAGCGTCTGGTGGCAGCAGCCACTGGCCACCTGCCATACCTTGGCTGTGCCATCCGTGCTGCCCGTCACCAGAAGCCCCCCAACCTCCTCGGCACAGGGAGCCCCAGGCAGGTCCCAGGGAGCAGAGTAGGCAAGGGTCAGCACGCAGTTGCGGTGGCCCCTGAACTCCTGGGACACCTGGCCCTTGTCCACACTCCAGGCTCGAGCTGTGCGGTCATAGGAGCTGCTGAAGAGCTGGTTGTTGGCGACCAGGATCCTGGTGGGAGGAGGGATAGGGCAGGGGTCAGACCACGCAGGGATGCCCAGCAGGCCATCTCAGGGTCCCTCTGCCCAGTGGCCTGTGTGTTCAGTGAGCCCAGAGAACTTCGTGTGGGAGGAGCAGACTTCGGTTCACACCCTGCCCCCCAGGACCCCAGAAGGCCTCGGGAGCAGCAAACATTTATGATTCTCAGATTCAGTTTAAGGAATGCTAAGAACCTCTCCCCAGAAATACATGTTTGTCTTCAGCCTAGAACTTTGCATAAGGTCAAAGGCTCGGTTCACACACCCTTGTTAAGAAGCCCTGAGCACCCCCAGAGCTCCCTGCCGAGAGGAGCCCGCAAAGGGGAGCAGCAGAGGGAGGCAGCTGGATCAGGCGTGTGTCACAAGTGTGGGGACTGAGCAGTCAGCACCCCGCACTCAGCGTCGGAGGCATCTTGTGTTCCCTCTGCCTTGGAGCCTGGCACAGATGGGGGGAGATGCGGCCCTCCCGCCCACACTGCCCACGCCGCCCCCCCGGCCGGTGCTCACTTCCCACAGGTAATTAAGGAGGCCCACCCCCCGGCACATGCACAGTTCCTGACTCACTTCTTCCTCAACACCCAGGATGGATGGTTTTCATGATGTGCGTATGTCTAAGAGAAAGTGACACTGTGACACCACGTGGCACTGCAGGTGATGTACTGGGGGCCTGAATCCCGCTCGCTCTGGCCTGGCATGAGAAGGCATGGTCGGTGCCTCCCATCCAGAACTCACCCACTTGGCTGGACTCTGAAAACACAGGAGGAAGTGAATCCCCCCTTACCTCGGGGATGTGGCACATTCGTGGGCACAGTTACTTAGTGATGCAGTAAAGTTACTAAGTAATACAGAGCATCTCCCCAGAACTGTTTAGGGCAGCAGCCCTTCAAGAGTGGTGTGTGTGAATGTGTGTGTGTACGTTCGTGTCTGAGTGCACAGGGACCTGCGCTTATGTGTGTGAACGTGTGTGTTTATGGTGTGGGTGTGCCCAGGAGAGTATAACCCCAGCAGAGCATTATTCCCAGCCTTAACGTCCAGCTTTGAGGGGCGCCTGGGTGGCTCAGTGGGTTAAGCATCTGCCTTTGGCTCAGGCCATGATCTTAGGGTCCTGGGATCAAGCCCCACATCGGGCTCCCTGCTCAGCAGGAGCCTGCTTCCCCGTCTCCCTCTGCCTGCCGCTCCCCCTGCTTGTGCTTTCTCTCTGCCAAATAAATAAATAAAACCAAAAAAAAAAAAAAAAAAAAAAAGGTCCAGCTTTGCTTTTGAGGAGCAGCTGATGGATACAAGGTACAAGCTGAGGGCAGGCCAGTCACCTGAGATGTGGCCTCTCCCACCTGCCCCAGCCTTGTAACAGGAGACTCCCATGCACCTACACTCTTCGACCTCAAGGAAGGATGTCGGGATACAACCGGCAGGACATGTGTCCTCCCTGACCCCCTCGTCCTGCTCTGGCTCAGGAAGCAGTGGCCTCGCTCAGCGGCTGGGAGGTGACCTTGCCCACTCATGGCCATCCTGAGCCAGCACAACAATTCATCTCAGGGACACCTCTCTGCCGAGAGATGTGACCCAGCTCCGGCCCTGCCGGTACGCAGCTCTTCCAGCAGGCAGCTGGACTGGACTGCCAGCCAGTCAATGGTGGGTCTGGCACCCCCACTGCCACCCACCGAGCACTGAACTACCCCACCAGCCGCTTCCCACTCGACCCAGGCCTGCACAGAGCTCATGCTGGCAGTGTCCCTCGTGGCTGCAAACAGTTCCCCTTCCCCACCCACCCAGCCCCGACCCCTCCAAATGCCCGCCTACACCTGGCCTTCTTCTGACTGCCTCGGCGTGCCCCCAGGCACCCCCCAAACCCCGTCAGTGAGGCCTGGAGGGCCCGCAGGCAGGTGCCCAGACCCCTGCTTATCCCGGACACTCCCTCGGGAGTTTAAGACGGCCACCACAAGTTACATAAATAGTGTCAAATTGATCTGATCAGCAGAGGAATGTTCATGGCTCAGCTCAGACCCAAATTCAATAAAGAAAGGAAAAATTCAAACCTCCTCGAGAAGGAGGAGGTGGGGATTTCAACAACAACACGGGAAGGAGAGATTTAAAAATACTCTTGACTCCATCTTCAGCACAATCCCCGTTTTGCTCCAAAACAAGCCCCTGGTCTACCATCAGGTACCAATTAAATCACTTCCTTTGGAATGCAGGAGCTGTGGCCTCCAGCACCTCTCCCTGTGCCCAGGAGTGGGCAGCGCACACCCGGGGACCCCGGGGGGCCGTCCAGGCACAAGCCTCCCTTCCCCCACTGAGGCCTCCCAAACCCCCACATGCAGCCCTGGGCAGTCAGCCCCCTGTCGTGCCTGGAAACGCTGGCATCCTGGGCCTTCCAGGGCTACACACTATGCTCCCCATGATCTCCACACGTGCCCACATGTAGGTGCTTCCCCAGGGAAGCTAAGTTCCCCCAGGACAGGGGCCACATGGCCTACATCTCTGTCCCCTGCCCCCTACCCCAGCCACCCTGACCTGTTCACAATTGATGTGTGTCCTCGGAACACCTGTAAGCACTGCCCGGTCCGCACGTCCCACTTCCTGATGGTGCAGTCAGCACTGCACGTGAAGGCAGCTTCGTCCTCCAGCTGGCAGAAGGTCACGTAGCTCTCATGCCCTGTGGACAAGGGGAGGCGTGAATGTGCCAGGGCACAGCAGGGAAGAAAGCCGGGGCGGGAAGTGTTTGAGACGAGTCCAGGCCCACTAGCCCCTTTGAGGGGACGATTTCAATCTGGGAGTCTCAGGAGCTATGGGAGGAAATGCTGGATGGTGGCTGTTCTTACATTTGGGGAGGGACACTGGTCCTAAAGGAATCAGGTCCTAGTTCTTGGAAACTAGAAATGTTACTTCACTAGGGAAAAAAGATATATTTGCAGATGTCACTAAGGATTTTGAGATGGGGAGAGTGTCCTGGGTGATGGCCAGGAATGGCAGCACAAGAGTCTCTGAGGGAAGGGGCAGAGGGAGATATGAGGATGTAGAGAAAAGATGCTGTGGAGACAGGACAATGACCTGAAGGTGTCCCTGAGATGAATGATGTGCCCACAACCAAGGAGCGCCAGCCACTGCCAGAACCTGAGGAGGCAGCTGGTTCTCCCCCACAGGTTTCAGAGGCAGTACAGGCCCGCCAACACTTTGATTTGGACCCACTGACACTGACTTTGGATTTCTGGCCTCCAGAACTGTGCCAGAATAAACTTCTGCTTTAAGGCACCCAGTGAGATGGCTGGTCACAGTGGCCACAGGAAACTAATATAGAAACAGGGATGATTAAGACACTTTCCCGGGACACCTGGGTGCCTGAGTGGTTGAGCATCTGCTTTGGGCTCAGGGCGTGACCCTGTGGTCCTGGGATTGAGTCCCGCATTGGACTCCCTGTGAGGAGCCCGCTTCTCCCTTTGCCTGTGTCTCTGCCTCTCTCTCTGTGTCTCTCATGCATAAATAAATAAAATCTTAAAACAACAACAACAACATTCCCTGCCTTCAGAGAGCATGAGCCTGAGCCTGGAAGGAGAGAGTCAGCCAACATGACACATCGGGGGTCAGCAGAGGAGAAGCCCTGGTGCTATAGAGCAGGAAGGGCGGGGAGGAGAGAAGAGCATTCTGGGAAAGAAAATAGCACCCACCAAAACAGGAGGGGGCCCTTGGGGCAGAATCTGGGTGCTTGGGAGAAATGGTGGGTAAGGCACAGAGCTGAGGGTGGATGTCCAGGACAGGGGGAGGCCACACACTCCATCAGCCCAGAGTCTCAGACATGCGCACCTGCTCATCCACCACCTTGTTGGTGTGATGGTCAATGTTTTGACTATTGGCTTGGCTTTGGGATCAAGGGTTATGAAGCAGCCCCAGAAGCACTCAGGTCCCCAGTCATAGTAGGGCCTGTCCTTCATGTAAAGATGGCTCCACCTCAGGGGCACCTGCCTGGCTCAGTCAGTGCAGCATGTGACTCTTGATCTTGGGGTCGTGAGTTGGAGCCCCACCTTGGGTATACAGTTTACTTAAAAAACAACAACAAAATCCTTTAACGTCCCTCGTGATAAAATCTAAATCTATTTAGAATCTAAAATCAGAATTTATGGGCAGCCCCAGTGGTTTAGCGCCACCTGCAGCCCAAGGCATGATCCTGGAGACCCTGGATTGAGTCCCATGTCAGGCTCTCTGTATGATGCCTGCTTCTCCCTCTGCCTGTGTCTCTGCCTCCCTCTTTCTCTCTGTCTCTGTGAATAAATAAATAAAATCTTAAAAAAAATAAAGTCAGAATTTATGGGTTAGACATATACCCCTATATGCAAAGATTATCTATGCTTATATCTATTTCTATACCTATATATACTCATATTTTTTTAAATTTATTTATCCATGAGAGACACAGAGGGAGAGGCAGAGACATAGGCAGAGGGAGAAGCAGGCTCCATGCAGGGAGCCCGATGTGGGATTCGATCCCAGGACCCCGAGGTCATGACCTGAGCCAAAGGCAGATGCTCATCCACTGAGCCACCCAGGTGCCCCTATACTCATATATTTTTAAAAAATGTTTACACCTTGGATATCAACTCTTTTTTTTCTCTCTCTTCTCTCTCTCTCCAAAGATTTTATTTATCTATTTGAGAGAGAAAGCATGAGCAAGGAGAGGGGCAGAGGGAGGACCAGACTCCCTGCTGAGCAGGGCACCCAATGCAGGGCTCAATCCCGGGACTCTGGGATCACGATCTGAGCCGAAAGCAGATGCTTCACTGACTGAGCCACCCAGGCAACCCCGGGTAACAACTCTTGATAGCAAACTGAAGCTGAGTATATTTGAAGAGTATCCAGGGGTCGGAAAATCAATTGAATCAAAGGAACGTTACACCTAAGATCCATTTCATGGATGAGGAAATTGATAAATTTAAATATTTACACGTGTGGGAAATAATTATGTTAAAGACTGCGACTGATTTTCTAAATTCCGTCTAGATGTCTGGTATCAGACAGACAAGGATTTAAAATCTTCTGGGCAGTTTCAAGCTGATGTGCTCTGTTCGGCCCCAGCGATTTAGCTCAGTTACTCTTGGAAGAACCCAACTCCCTGGGTTCTAAGAAACAGATTTAAAAAAAAAAAAAAAAGAAGAAAGGAAGGAAGGAAGGAAGGAAGGAAGGAAGGAAGGAAGGAAGGCATGTTTTCAGTCTTCTTGGATAGCATGTACCAGGCCTCTAAGAAAACAACCTTTGTGTGAAGGAAGTAAACAGTTGAAGACGAAGCAGATTACATTTCCTTAAAATGCACGTCAGTCTAAAAGTCGAGGGCAAAATGTGTCTGGCAAAACACAGCCCAGCTTTTTGCCAACCTCAAAATGTTTATAAAATATTTGAAGATTGTCAACAAACTTTCCCTGAAACCAGAGCTGCTGCGGGGAGGGCTCAGCGCCGTCTAAGGAGCCACCTGGCTTCCTGGGCTGGCTGGAAGGCAGCCCGGCGCCCCGAGGGCAGTTGGGTGTGGGCGAGCCGGCCCTGCACACGCACCCCGCAGTCCTCCTCGGACCCCGTGTGGTCCGACGCCAACCACGCCAGGAGAGGCTTCTGCAGGGCCATCAGCCCCATTCTGGCCGGTTTCGACAGCATCTGACAGCAGGAAGGCAGAAGGCCAAGTGTTTATAGGCCAAGACAAGCACTGGAAAACTGTGTGGCGAGTAAGCCATGGCACCCCTACTCAGTGAAGCCACGGCCACTAAACCAGGATGTGGAAGATCATGAGTTGGGTGACCAATTATATGGAAGTAGGAAAAAAAAAAAGGAGATATACAGTAAAAATATGAATGCCTATGGGGGGGCCTGGAGGGCACAGCTGGTTAAGGGGCTGGCTTGGTATCTGCTCAGGTTGTGATCTTGGGATCACTGGGCTCTGATTAGTGCAGAGTCTGCTTGAGATTCTCTCTCCCTGTCCCTCTGCCCCTCCCCCCTCTCAAATAAATCAATCTTTAAAAAATATATAAATACCTATAAACAAAGACTTTAAGAAAAGAGTCAATAATGAAAAGAATTTTTTCAACATTAAAAATAAAAAGCTCGGGATCCCTGGGTGGCTCAATGGCTTAGCGCCTGCCTTTGACCCAGGGTGTGATCCTGGAGTCCTGGGTCAAGTCCCACATCAGGCTCCCTGCATGGAGCCTGCTTCTCCCTCTGCCTGTGTCTCTGCCTCTCTCTCTCTCTCTGCGTCTCTCATGAATAAATAAATAAAGTCTTTTAAAAAAATTATTTTAAAAAAGGGATCCCTGGGTGGCGCAGCGGTTTAGTGCCTGCCTTTGGCCCAGGGCGCGATCCTGGAGATCCAGGATCGAATCCCACGTCGGGCTCCTGGTGCATGGAGCCTGCTTCTCCCTCTGCCTGTGTCTCTGCCTCTCTCTCTCTCTCTCTCTCTCTCTCTCTCTCTGTGACTATCATAAATAAATAAAAATTAAAAAAATTATTAAAAAAAAAAAAGCTCATCCCTGGAGCTAGGCCAGGCTGACCCTCTGCCCTCCTGGGGGCCTGGCCGTGGGCTGGCTGAGGCTGCCTGCAGCAGTCAAGGCCCTCCCAGGGACAAGCCCCTTCCTCGGCACGCCAGGCTCCTACTCCACATCTGAAAACCCACACCGAAGGAGTCCCAGCTCAGAGCCCTGCCAGCAGAGGCTGCAGAGCGTGTCCCCAACTGCAACCCACAGACCATTTGACAAGGTCCACTGCCCCCAGCCTACAGGGTCACCCGGGGAGGGATGAGGAAGGCAGGAGGGAGAAGGGGGGGGGCATTGCGTCTCCAGGGACCACAACGCCACTGGCGTGAGCTGCTGCAATTATGTAGAATAAGCAAAAAAGTCAAACTAAAAATAAACATTTTTGAAGGGATAAATAATGCAGATAAGATACAGTTATTATGTTCAAAAGGACAGGCTGAGGCTCAGGGTTCTCTGCCAAGGTAGTCGGCTCTCCCTGCCTCCCCAGCCGCACACCCTCGGACTCGCTGGGGGTTCAGAGTCGAAGGGCCCTGTGCACACGCAGGAGGGGTTGCCCGGGGTCTGCGGTGGCAGAGGTGGGCCGGTGTGGGCACCCAGCCAAGCTGGAACATTCATGCCTCCAACTTGGCCTGGAGAGAGCGGCCTCCTTGCCTCTGCTGGCCCTGGCAGGTCTTCTGTCTGCCCCTCGGGGTCTCTCCTCTTCTGCAGCCTGCTCCCTGCAGCTCCTGGATCCCCCCTCACTGCCAGCAGGGTTCAGACATCTGGGAGCCCAGCAGGAGACTTTAGGTCAGGATCTGCTGGCCCAGTTCCCCGGAGGAAGGCCTCTCCACACCCTCTCAGGGGCTGCAGGCCTCCACCCTGGCTTCTTCAGCTCCAGGAGTGTGGACAGCCCTGAAGGGACCAGCCCCATAGTACAGTGCTTCCCCTGTACTATGCCCACATTTTGCAAGCGTCTCTTTACTAAACTCTCCTTGAGCTGTTATTTGGGGGTGTCGTTCTGTTTCCTGCTAGGGCCTGCCTGATGGAGCCACCCCTCCGTGTGTCCTGTCAGCAAGCCAGAGCAGTGACAGCCACGAGTCCAGAGCACAGAAGGTGTGGTCGAAATAGACAGTGTCTGACGAAGCCACCGAAGTCTCGGCCTCGGGCCACCTGCCTCGAGCCCCCGGCCTGGGCAGGCTCATGCTCTGTCATGGTGCCACCGCAGGGCCTGGCCTTCCAGCCCAGCTCCTCTCAGCCAACACCCTCAACCCGCCTGCTCTCTTGCCTCCACCTGTGACTCCTCACTCCACACCCACAGGGAGCTCACCACCCTCGGACGGTGCTGTCCGAAGAGCCCGAAGGATGAATTACCCTCCAGGGCTTCCTTCACATCTATGCTTAAGACAAACTGCTTTTTGATGGAATTTCTCCTGGGTTGGGACAAAGTTAACAATGTGTTTATGTCTAAGAGCCTTCCCTGTGCCCCCACATGCTCCTTCAGGAATATGCAGGAGATGATTCAGCAAGCCCACCTCTGGGTATCTATCTACACGAAGGATCTGCAAGCAGGGCCTGGAAGAGATGTTTGCACACCCCAGCTCGGAGTCGCATTTCTCACCACAGTCAAGTGGAAGCAACCCCAGTGTCCAGTGGCAGATGAGTGGGCATAAAAAATGCACACAACCAAACAGTGCTCAGCCTTCCGAAGGAAACAAATCCTGACACAGGCTACAACCTGGGATGAACGTGGAGGACATCGTGCTAAGTGAAATGAGCCAGTGACAGAAAGACAAACACTGCATGATTCCACTTGTACCAGGTCCCTGGAGCAGTCAGGTTCACAGAGGCAGGAAGCAGGATGGTAGGCGCCAGGGGCTGGTGGAGGGAGAAATGGGGTTCAGTTTGTTTTACAGGATGGAAAATTCTAGAGATGGATAGTGGTAATGGTGGTACATCATAATGTTTAATATCTTGAAATTGTACACTTAGTATATGTGCTGCCGAAGCGAGCACGAAACTGTACACTTAAAAAACAATGGTTAAGAGGGTAAATTTGATGCTACATGTTTTCTATTAAGAGTTAAAAATTGTCCACAGTCCCTTCCAGCCCCACCTAGCCCAAGAGGTAAACCCTGACTATCTGGGCTCACAGAGTTCCTGCTCATCTGAAGTTCAAGTGCACATGGTCCCTCAGTTTAGCCATCACTCTCTCCATCCAACCTGCAAATTCTCTGGGGCAGTATCTTTGCATCTAACACAGGCACCCAGGACAGTCAAGCCAGTAACCAAGAGGGGCAAGGGCTCTGGAGCAGGAGGGAGGGGGCAGCTCCCCCCAGTGCCGCTCTGCCTGTGTGAATGGCTCTGCCTGTGTAAACTCAGGAGGACTGGCTAGCCCTTTGGAGCCTCCAAAGGGGATAACCATGGCTGTGAGAAGCAAAAGGGGGAAGAGCTTTGGAGCCGGCCCGGTGCAGTGCCAAGGAGATGCTCTTACTCAGTCCAGGCTGGTGGATTGTGGGCCTGGAGGACCATGGTGGCCACTAATATGTGCCAGGAGCTATTTATTGACTGGCTTGCTCCTGCTCCCTCACAACCTCATCAGGCTAGATGACTATTTTATTGTCCCCCAATTCACAGATAAAGAAACTAAGGCATGAGAAGTTAAATAATGATGAGATTGGAGCCCAAGCAGCCCAGCTCCAGAGCCCAGGCTCTTGATGGCCCCTCCTGCTACCCGGAGGCAAAGTTATGGGTCATCCGGAAGGGCAGGCATCATCAGGCTTCCAGTAAATATAAGTGTGCAGTTTGTTCACACAGAATTAAAAACAAATAGCACCCCCGTCATGCTAGAAGATGCTATTGGAAGACGAGGATGCTTTTGGAACAGCCACAGTGGGTTGGAACCTTTGGGCTGGGCCCCTTACTACTCGGGGACAGACCAGGACAGGGACTGCCATTTTGGGGCATGCTGCCTATCTCATTGACCCAGTGAAGTGCCCCCAAATGAACAGGCACCCAACAGATAAAAGGAAAAGAGGGGAAGGGGATAATTACATTCAATTCAATTCTTCTTTTTACAGAATAATTAGCAGTTAAGCCTACTTTCTCCTTTGGAGCTCACCAACTGCAGCTGAAAGCCAATTCCAAGCACTGAAAAAGCAGAGCTGCTGCAGGAGGGAAGCTCGGGGCTATCAGAAGCCTACGGTCCAGAGACACCTGAGTGGCTCAGCGGTTGAGCACCTGCCCCTGGCTCAGGGCGGTCTCAGGATCGAGTCCCACATCGGGCTCCCCGCCTGGAGCCTGCTTCTCCCTCTGCCTGTGTCTCTGCCTCTCTGTGTGTGTCTCTCGTGAATAAATAAATAAAATTTTTATTTATTTATTTATTCATGAGAGGGAGAGGGGGAGAGAGAGAGAGGCAGAGACACAGGCAGAGGGAGAAGCAGGCTCCAGGCAGGGAGCTTGATGTGGGACTCGATCCTGGGTCTCCAGGATCATGCCCTGGGCTGAAGGCAGCGCCAAACCACTGAGCCACCCAGGCTGACCTACAGCTGGATTTTAAATTCTGGATGGATCTTAGATCTTCCGGTCTCAGTTCAGGGCCTGCCAATCTGTGTGACTTTGGGGGTGGCAGGAGGAATGTATGTTAGTTTGTAACCGACTCTGCCTTATCCACCCTCACCCCCAAATAACAGGCAAGCCAAAATTCATCTCTTCTGGACTTTGAAATATCTATCATAGCTGCTTTTAAAACCAATAGGGTCGGGATCCCTGGGTGGCGCAGCGGTTTGGCGCCTGCCTTTGGTCCAGGGCGCGATCCTGGAGACCCGGGATCGAATCCCACATTGGGCTCCTGGTGCATGGAGCCTGCTTCTCCCTCTGCCTCTCTCTCTCTCTCTCTCTCTCTCTCTGTGTGTGACTATCATAAATAAATAAAAATTTAAAAAAAAATAAAACCAATAGGGTCAAGGCACTCCTGGGTGGCTCAGGGTTGAGCGCCTGCCTTCCACTCAAGTTGTGATCCCAGGGTCCTGGGATGGAGTCCTGCATGGGGCTCCCCACAGGAAGCCTGCTTCTCCCTCTGCCTGTGTCTCTGCCTCTCTTTCATGAATAAATACATTAAAAATCTTTTAAAAATTAATAAAATAAAGCCAATAGTATCAGCCCACAGTGAAGCTGATTTGTACAACAGTGAAGCTAATTTGTACTCTCTGGGCCTACAGGAACTTGGAAGGCCCTGGGGAGGCCACCCAGGACTTGCTGATTATGGTGGAAAAAGAACAGGCAATGATAAATAACCACAGTGAAGAGAGTGTTGGGATTCAAGGGGCTGTATCTGCTGTTCAGGCGACAAAAGGGGCAGAGCTGGAGAGGGGCCTCACAGTCCTGCAGTGTAGACATGTGACAGGGATGCAGGGTAAGAAGTACATCTGCCTCCAGCAACTAGGTACGTCAATATAGACCGATATGTGTGCATTTGTGAAACCTTTATAAAACAATATGTGCGCCTGTATGTGTGCCTCCTGCCATTGCATCATGTTTCCAACTGCGTTAAATTGGTTTAACAACCCCCTTTTGAGAAATTTTGATCCATCCCTCTCCAGCACCCCTTCCAATAGAAGAAACGAGGCTGCAGGGACAGCAGAGTGGTCAGATGGGGAAGGGGGCGTCCAGATTTCAACTTTCCCCTCCCCACGGTCTGTGTGATCCCAGGCCACTTACTTCCTGCCTCAGTTTCCCTGTCTGCGCGAGTGGGAGAACAGCAGTGTGAAGACTGCCCAAGGCAGTCTTAAGTGCTCAGTCCCGCGGGCACTTAACAAGCCCTGGCGGTCACCACAGTGGCTCCTAGAGGAAATGCGCGGCCACAGGCCAGCGGGGAGCGAGAGACCGGGGAGGGCGCAGAGGTGCGATCCCGGTGGTCTGCTAAGGCCTTGGGGATGGAGAGGATTTTCCGCCCTAGGCTGACGGCTGAGGATAGACCCCGCGGCGGGTGCGCCCCGGCCCGGCGGCCCCGGTCCCAGGGGCTCGGCGGGTCGTCGGCGGGGCCGGGGCGAGCACCCCCCGACGGGGGCCCCGGCACAGCGGGGGCTGGGCTCTGGGCTCTGGGCTCTGGGCGGCGGGGACGGAGCGGGAGGGTGTACCTTGCAGGAGGGCGCAGCACTGGCCGTCCGCGGTGCTCCAGAGCCGGGCCGTGCCGTCCTCGCTGCCCGTCAGCAGGCGCTGCCCGTCCGGGCTCAGGCTGAGCCAGTTGATGCCGCCGCGGTGGTCGGCGCAGACCCTCAGGGCCGACCCTCCGCCCCCCATGCGGCCGGCCGGGCGGGAGACCACGAGATGCGCCCCGCTAGGGAGGGGCGCCCCGGCACCCGCGCCGCGGCTCCCGGCGGCTGCGTCCCGCGGCCATGGCCCTGGGGAGGGGGGCACGGGGCGCGGCGGCGGTGAGGCGGGGGCCCCGCTCCCTCCCGCAGCGGGGAGTCCCGGCCCCAGCGCGCCCGCCGCCGCCCTTCCCCGCGCCCCACCTGAGCGGGCCCCCCTCGGAGCCCGGACGGCCGGGCGGGGGCGTCTCCCGCGCGCAGGAAGGCTCGGGCCTCCGCGGGGTCCGGCGGCGGGCGCGGGGGACCCGGGAAGGCGAGCGCCCCGCGCGCCCTCCCCGGCCGGCGCCGTGCGCTCGGGGCGGCGAGGGTGGAACAATACGGTCCGGCCAGGCTCCTCCTCAGAGACCACCCCCCAACCTGTCCCCTCCCACTTCTCCGGCCCGCGCCCCAGCCCCCACCCAGCTGCCCCCTTCCCCCGCCCCGCCCCGCCCCCCGCCGGCCCTCCCGACCCACCTCCGCCGCGGCCCCAGCGCCCGCCCCGGGGACGCCGGGGACCGGGCCACGTGCGACTCCCCCGGCGGCCCCGTGCGGGGACCGCAGGCCGGGACGAGGAGGAGGAAGACGTGGAGGTGGCCGCGGGGTCCCGTGGGGTGAGACGCGCACGCCCGGGAGCTCCCTCCGGCCAGCGGCTGCGCGCCACGGCCGGGCGAGTCGGCCCCCCCAGGCGCCCCAGCCCCAAGGACCCGCCCGACAGGCGCCCTTGGGGAGCGCCCCGCGTCCGCTCTCGCGGGGAAACCACACGCACACCCCGAATTCTAAAGAAGCTCCGCGGGGGGGTGGGTGGCGGGCGGGCCAGGGGAGAGGCGCGGTGGGACTTCCCGGAAAGGTCAGGTTCACCCCAGGGAGCGGCCGCGGGGTCCCGCCTTCTCGTGCTGGGGGTGCGGGGCCCGCGCCCACTGACCCCACAGCTTTCGGCAGCCACTCCCACCCCATCCCACCCCAGCGCCTGTGACGGCCCACTGAGGTCTCCGCAGGAATCCCACACCGCGGGGTGCGAGCCCTCCCGGAATGCCTGCTGGTTCCCATTAGAGCGGTTCCGGTGCCTGCTTCGCGGGGGGCGGGGAGGGGTGACACCCCCCAACTCGGATCCTCCAGGTCCTAGAGGTAGCAGGGTTTCCCGAGGGGCGGGAGTGAGGGAGCGAAGGAGCTTTGGAAAGCTAACTAAGCTCTCATCGCGACCAGACCTTCTCCCAACGGCCCACCACTACGTCCAGGCCCACGACGTCCAGACTCCGAAAGAAAGCCCCATAATGCGGTCCCCAAGGTCACTGGACAATTTATTCTCCAAGCATCTTAACCAGAGAAACCCACCCTTTCCCCAACCTTGTGAGTCGGCTTGCACTTCAGCTCAAGGGGCCGGCACCAGGGAAGGGGTTCCGGGGTGGGGGGTGCCGTGTTACAGTGGGATTTGGAGCTGTACAGGTGGGACGGGAAGGAGGCCGGAAGCTGGCCAGAGCTGGCAGGAGAGAGTGAGGCAGCAATCGGTGAAGTATTCTAGAGTCTTCAGGAATTGGGTGCTCGAAGGGAGGAAGGGAGGACTCTGCGAGTCTCCACTATGCTGGAGTGGGTGGCTGGCGTGGGTGGAGACTCTGGAGTGGGTGGCTGGTGACATCTGTTCAGAGATGCTCCTCCAGGCTGACCGTGAGTTCATTTTAGGACTTGTGAACTTCAAGGCACCATGGCAACATCCAGGTATAAAGACAGTTGGCCATACAGGTGCTCCGAAGAAAACCCAAAGGAGACAGAAGACTCTCTGGCCGCTGCTCGAGGGGTACCCAGTTGCTCCTTCTCTCAGGGTCCTGGTCTGATCCCTTTCACTCTCGCTGCCCCCAGTACAGGGTCCCTCCATACCTAATCCGGGGATGCCAGGGATGCCCTACAACTTGGGAAGTAGGATTGCTGAGCTACCATTTGCCGTTGAGAAAAGAAGAGGAAAGGCAAGGAAGCATGTTTTTCCCCCTTCGTTCCAGATTTCAGCCTTTCCAAGGCAGACGGAGGACTGTTTGGGACAGAGAAACCTTCCCAAGCCTCCTGACCTTTCACTGCACAGGCAACAACCATGTCTGGTTTACGGTTTCAGGCCAACTCTGCTAACGCCTCTCGCAAATAACTCCCTGAAACTAACCCCCCCATTCACGCTGCGCCCTACGGTGAAGAGGTAAAACCAGGTCTCTGTATTCGCCACCAGCGGCAGAACGGAAAGCAACGACTTACAAGGCTGGCAGAAATCTTTCCTGCATATTTTATCCTCCCCAAACATGAAACAAAAAATCCTACGCTATCAGAATTTTTCTATTATTCCACTATAATCGAGTGACAGTGATAAGGCAGGCACGATTACACATTGTGTAATAACTTCTAAATTCCATAACAACTTCTCAAGATAAATATTATCTTTTTGATTTTGCTGAGGAGGACAATGAGGCCTAGAGAGGGTAAAGAGACCAAGTCTTGCAGTGAGTGGGAGGTTCAGGGACTGCTAGGCACCCCGTCTGCATGGTGTGGCTACCAAATGCAAGCAAATCAGTGGCTTGAAAGGAGCAGGCCCATCCCTCTGTGCTGGAGACACAGAAGGCCTGTAATTCCTTTCCCTCCAATCCCACTGCATTTTCCTGGAGAGAAATCTCCAGGCAAGAGTAGCCTTTCCCTGAACATCTTGATGAGGATCTGTGGGTGCCTCGCTAAGTACATTTCCCTGTGGATGGAGACAAGCAAGCCCACAGCCAGTCTCTTGGTGCCTGATAGACTTCTGCTCCCTGCAGAGATCTCAGACGTGCTGCTTGTGGGCATCTCTCCTCTTGCTGGTGGCTTTCTCATCTGACCCAGCAAGGCATCCTGGTTAGAGTGTGTGTGCATGCGTGCCTGTTCGTGTGTATGCGTGTGTGTGTGTGTGTGTGTGTGTGTGTGACTAGGAGGGACAACGAGGGAGTCTGGTTTAGCAGCATCTGCTTTCACTCATTCCAGAAGATTTCTAGCTGCCCACAAAATGATGCATTTGCTTGTTCTCTGTGTGGATTCTGAAGCCAAGTTTAATTCGTACTGGAGCTGTTAATCCTACTATGGGTATTTTACATGAATTTCGTGTGTTTCCGAATGGAAGCCAGGACCAGCTGAGCCACGAACTCTACACCTGCCTTTGTTTTGCTGGGAGCAGATGGGGGAGCAAACTGGTGTCAGCCAGGATGCTTTGATTGTGGTGAGAAAAACTGAGGTTAGTGAATCTGGGCAAGAGAAAGGGATTTATCAGAAGGATATCAAGTGAAGGAAGAGATGAACATCCAAATTGAAGGAAAGAACTAGGGAAATGCTGGGATCTTTGGTTTAATTTGGTTGGGACCAGCAGGACCCTGTGACCTCCGCCCCATCAGCATTGGCTATGCTAGTGGGGTTCCTCAAGTTACTGCAGTCTCCCCTGTGGCTGCCCAGCGCTCACACACAAACACCCCCCCTTCCATGGTCACGGTCCCCAAATGCCCTGTTTTACAGGGACTGCCCTGTGTGGACCTGACGTATGCTGTCCCATTACCAACAGGTGACAATTCACAGAGCGTGGCTTACAACACGCAGAATTGATGCGATAGGGTAGCTGGTCTCTGAGTCCAGGAGCTCTGAGTACGTTCACGTCTCAGCTACGTACTGTTTTAATATCCTACAACCTACAGACTAAATAAATGAAATCAGACACCAAAACCCTATATTACCTACAAAGAGAGGAACATTTTAAAGATGTATGTGACACAGCAAACAAGAAATGCAGGGCAGAGGCTGCCATTTTCATTTCTAGAACTGACATGTGTCATCTGTCCCTATGACATGTTGCTGGTCCCCTAGCTTCTGGGGTCCATGTCTGCCAAGTGAGATTATAGAGACCCAAGCCTTTATTCCTGAGAGGCCTAAGTCCTTGGTGGCCCTGCCTGTATAGAGTTATCTTTGTGTTCTGTTAATCTTTATTGCTGAGTATGATGATGATGATCAGAATGATAACAGTAATATTTATTGAGCACTTAGAATATGCTAGAACGTGTTACAAGTGCTTTACATGTCTTATTTCATTATCCTGAGAATGACTTTTTTTTTCTTTTTTTAGTAATCTCTGTGCCCAATGTGGGGCTTGAACTCACAACTCTGAAGTCAAATAAATAAATAAAATCTTAAAAAAAAAGTCTAAGGGGGCACCTGGGTGGTTCAGTCGGTTGAGGTCATGAGGTCATCTTCAGCTCAGGTCAGGATCCCAGGGTCCTGGGTTGGAGCCCCATGTTGGGTCCCCTGATCACTGGGAAGCCTGCCATTCCCTCTGCTGCTCCCCCTGCTTCTGCTCTTTCTCTCTCAAGTAAATAAATAAAAACTCTTAAAAAAATAAAATTAGGGCACCTGGGTGGCTCAGTGGTTGAGCATCTGCCTTTGGCCCAGGTCATGATCCTGGGATCCTGGGATAGAGTACCTCATGGGGCTCCCTGCTCAGTGGGGAGCCTGCTTCTCCTTCTGCCTGTGTCTCTGCCTCTCTCTGTGTGTCTCTCATGGATAAATAAATAAAATCTTTTTTAAAAAATTAAAATTTAAAAAAAGTTTAAGTATTTATTTACCTTCCCCCTGCATCTTTACCTCAGGAAATGACCCAAGGTCCAACTTTTAAAAACTAGGAAGAGGGATCCCTGGGTGGCTCAGCGGTTTGGCGCCTGCCTTTGGCCCAGGGCGCGATCCTGGAGACCCGGGATCGAATCCCATGTCAGGCTCCCGGTGCATGGAGCCTGCTTCTCCCTCTGCCTGTGTCTCTGCCTCTCTCTCTCTGTGTGTGTGTGACTATCATAAGTAAAATAAAAAACTAGGAAGAAGTTTGGGTAGCTTAGTCTGGGTAGCTTAGTCTGTTAAGCATCTACCTTTGGGTCAAGTCATGATCAAGGGTTCTGGGATCAAGCCCCACATTGGGCTCCTGGCTCATTGGGGAGTCTGCTTCTCCCTCTCTCTCTGCTGCTCCCTCTGCTTGTGCTCTCTTACTCTCTGTCAAATAAATAAATAATATCTTTTTAAAAAGTCACAAGCTCTACTGATTGAGCCACCCAGGCGCCCTACAAGTACTTAATAGTTCACCAGATAGCGAAGCGCAGAACTAGGTCCATATTAGGAACTGTTTGCTTGTTTGTTTGTCATCAGTTAGGAATGCTTTCAGATCTAAGTAATAGAAAACCTAAGACATGGACGCCTGGGTGGCTCAGTTGGTCAAGGATCTGACTCTTGGTTTCAGCTCAAGTCATCATCTTAGGATTGTGGGATAGAGCCCTGTGTCAGGGTCCCTGCTCAGCTCAGAGTCTGCTGGAGATTC